ACCCCAAAACCCCATGCTCTAAATAATAGCATAAATTAAGAGATTTTTAATTATGCAACATATTTATTTATTAAATATAAAAATCTGAAGAATTCTAATCAGTTGTTAGCTTTTGATGATTCAGCATCTTTTCTAATATATATTTTGGGGGCCTATGTTAGATCAAATTCTTCATATGTTGCTTCTTCCATTAAGTTGAATATAGTGTCTTCAAGCATGAATTCTAGGAGATCAACGAATGGCTTTTCTAAAAACATTCTCTTTTTGAATATTTCTTGGTCATTCATATTGCTAACTAATTTAAGCTCCTCTTCGTATTTTGAGCTATGTTGATTCTAGAATTGAGTCTCTTCAGCATAGAAATAGGTCACTATATCATTAAAGTTAGGAGGATCAACATCATTGACATGATATGGTTCAAGACTGGAAGGTTTCTGGAAGCAATCCTCAAAGACTCTATCAATTTCATCACCTTCTAAAATATCGTGAATAGCTTCATTCAAGATGTTCTCAATCAATGATTCTCCATCCCTATTTTCAACACCTAGTTGCATTTTAGTCTAAAATAGTTGAATAATCTTAATCCTTACAATCTTTGATCTCTTTCTAAGTCTCAAGAATAGGAACTCCGAGCTATCACTTCCCATATTGTTTGTGTGAACACTCTTGAGATCTTGCTTGTTTACATCTCCTTCAGTCTCCCATTCAATCGCACATTAAATTTCTCCTTCGAAATGAGTTGGGAATCTAGCTGAGATTAGAGTCATTTTGATGTTTTAATGAGAGTTTGGCTTTAACTCTCCTTGCATAGGCTCAAGCTTAATGTTATCTCCACTATATTAATTAAAACTTTTCAATGAACTTACCACATCAAGCCTGATTTATAGAACTCAAATTTAAGTTTTTGAGTAGGATGGAGGTTATAGAGTATCACGAATCTCCTAGACAGCTCACCTTTTTCAAGTTCGCCAAAGTCAATCTCTTCAATGCTGAATGCAGCCATTGAGCCATTTTCATTAATATTAGCTCTACATTTTGGAAGATCTTCATAAAAAGGTAATTCAAGAGGTTTTTTGTCTTCAAAGTGATACCCGACTCCTCTTAGTTTGAGAGCATATGATTCAGTACTTGGACCCTCAATGTCACTAATCTTTATTGGTAAGTCTAAACTATAATCTTTGACTTCTAGAGGTCTGAAAAGTGTATAGATATATTAGGTTTCATTAGCCATTAAAGTACCCTCAGGATTTTAAATGTCAAAGACTCTAAATCCAAAGTTTTGCTTGTTTAGATTTTCAAGAGTTGTGGTGTCAATCTGATACTTAAGCTTTGTAATACCAAGATTCTTAACTTCAATAGGATAAGTAACTGCATATTCAAGACCGATTGGAACAGGTGGAAGATGATATATGTCTTTGAGAAGTTGTAATTAGGCTCTTCTATGAAGTGTTTAGCCAGATAAGTTTATAATTAATGGCTTTCCGTTCAAGATGGAGAAGAATATCTTAAGATAGTGAATTTTAACCTCTTTTGGATAGTAGTACACATTAATATCCATCTATTGACCCGGATCTAGTGCACCTTTCCTTGGTTCAATCTAGAAGATCTTATTTTCTAATATGTGCCTCTCAAATGCTTACTCGTCACTAGGTTCTCCTGGATCAGCCCATGGCTCCAATTCTATTTCTTGATCATTAGGCATTTTAAAGCACCAATCAGCTCTTACTCCTCCGATATTCTTAAGAGTCAGGGTTATTTTTCTTGGTTTAGGCCCATACTTTATAGGGACCTTACCGAAATTCCAAGTAAATATTTTGAGATTCTTTTGAAGGTCATGAATGCTTTGGTTAGTCTTATCTGAATTGTTAAACTCAATTTCACTCTCATTTAGAGGATTTAATAATTCTTTATTTAGGTTTGTCAAATGATATATCTCCCATAGATTTGGAGTGCTGACTGAATAGTTTCTGATATCTGTAAACCTTAAAAGGGGGAAATCACCCATTGCGTGGATCTGAATGAAAGATTTTTCAATCACAGTGTCTTAGATCTTTTGAGTCTTTGTATTTATGGCTTGTACCTCTTTCGTTGGTTTTTCTCTAGCTAAGCATACAAGATGAATATCAAAATCAAATCTTAATGTAGGCATGAAGGTTATATTAACCTTCTTCTTTGATTTTGCATTGAGAAGACCTTTTGGATGATCGAATTTGAAACAATCCTCTAGGATTTTAGTCATTTAAGGTAATTCTGGTTCTCTTTTTTAGGATTCCTCATCAATTTTTTATGCCATTTTCAGCTCGATATAAAGATTGCAATTGCTTTTATTGATAACATGGACGCTTAATGTTTTACTGAATCCAACAGTAATTGTTCCAAAATCTAAGTCTTTGGGACTTATGCTAATAATTCCATCACTTCCAGCTCCAATAATTTCAAGATCGTATCTAACTGTGATATCCTTGATTGATTTGGTCTAATTCATAATAGTTTTATTAGCTTTCTACATGTGTCCTGATCCTGGATTGTAGAACCCAATAAGATTCTTGATGTAGTCATTAATATTTGTAGCATAAACTGGAATGCTAAGAATGTATTCTTTCTTTCTAAGAGGAGTGAAAGTAGAGACAACTTTTGTTTCCTCATTAGGCAAAAGATAAGCTTTTGCTGGTTCAAAACTAACCTCAGTTTTGTACTTTTCAGGAACTTTCCATTCGAATTCTAAGGGAATCCTTGCATCATTCTTTATTGACAACTTTTGTTTGCTTGAAACTCCAGTAAAAGTTGGAGGGAAAAAGAGTTTTCCTCCGTTTCCTAAACTTAATTAGGGAGCATAGCAATGACCAATCAAATGGATACTTTGAATATTGCTAGCAGAGTGATTAAACATGCATTGAGCAGTAAAATTGTAAAATCTTGCCTGCTTTGGCTGGAACTCAAAGCAAATCAATGAGAAAGATTTACCTTAGATCATCCCTACAAATGGATAAGCTCTAAATGTTTTAGTTGAGTCCTACAAGATTTTAAAGAAAACAGGAGTATCACTAGTGTTTACTATTTGAACTGTTTGATATGTTGATTCATTAACTCCAGCTGGTGGGAAGGTAACTTTGTTTGAAGGGCTAATTTTTACCATAGGGATGAATGGTTATGATCCTGGAGGGAAAGAATGACCAACCAATCTAACATTTAGACAAGTAGGTGGGTCAAGATCTTCATTTAATGCCTCCTCAAACTTAGTCTTTTTAAGAGTACTTAATAAAGTTTTACCGATCGTCTTTTAAGCCATTGATTATGAATGAGCACCAACTGAGTTGCTTAAAGCCATTTTCTTAACTTTATTATTAGCACCATTCATTAATTGAATAAAGCATTAAGCTATTTAGAAGAAATAACTATCAGGTTCATTTGGAGCAAATTTGACCATAAACTAGAAAGAGCTATTAGGAGGAATGATAGCTTGTGGAGGACTAATTTTAAATGGGTTCTCCTAGATAGTGTTATTAGTAGCATTTTAAACTTGCAATAAAACCCAATTAACATTAACTTCGAATGGATATTTATTGTCTAATACGATTATTTTTCCTTCGCTTAGTCTACCACACTCAGTGAAAGCAAAGTCCAAGAATTCGTCTCTAAGTCTAAGATCTCTGTTATCTGATTACATCTCTAAGAACATCTCTTTGTGAAGCACAACTGGATTTGGATCATCTATTGGTATTTCAAGATTAATTTCTATTTCCTCTTCAAAGCTAGTTCCTTATCCAGTAATTGTCAATTTATCCTCTCCTAACTCATTATTTCTCCTAGGTTTATTGTGAATACCCATAATAACTTTATGCCTGTAGATATCTACATGTCTTTGCATCAGAGGAACAGGTTTTGTAAGAATATCATAGCAAGTTCCAATCAAATCTACATAAAGAATCGAATGATTTCTTACAATACAGAACACTCTTTCATAATAGTTAACTGTTTATTGAGGGTTAAATGTAATGATGATTCTTGTAGAAGATTTAGCATTGACTGTTCCCTCGACTTTTGAAAATGAATAAACATTCTTGTTGTCAGTAACAAATTAGAAAGATGTTGGAAGATCACTTTCATTGATAATATTCAAAAGTCTATTAGTATTTCCTCCAATTTAAACTTCACCGAAATGAACTGATTTGTTTGATAAATTAACATTAAAGCCTGTAGCATATCCTAAGCATGAGAAAACTAACTCATTTCCACCAACTGTCTTGATTCTGTACTGGGCACATGATGTAACACCTACAATTGAGGGGACATATTTGACAGTTATTTTGAATGATGCATTAGGTGGAACAATACCTGAGTAATTATCTATACTAAATGAAACGTCTTTTCCATCATCATTAATCTTTTCAACTGTGAATTGAGCAGGTACTAGTGATTGATTTTTAAGCATTACATCTCTAGAAGCTATCTTGCCAACCAAAAGAGTTTCAAAATCAAATCTTTCTTGATTTATTGTCAAAAATGGGTATTTTCCGATAGCACTTAACTTTAATACCTTTGATCCCTCTTCAGACCCAGTAAATTTAAATACGGCTGAAGCAATCAATACTTTGGCTTCTTCTGGAAGGAATGATATCGTAATATCTTATTTAGATTTTGCCATTATGACACCTATAAATTCAGAGTTAATTCTTGAATCAAATAAAATCATTGAATTTAAGTTGAAATGTTTCTTACCTTGCTAAGGGCTAATCTAAAAGGGACAGTTATCAGTTAAAATCTCATATTTAACTATATTAGCATGAGGATTCTAAAGAGTAAATGATCTGGTGGCAGTTTAAAACACTCCACAATAGCCGAAATCGATACCTTAGGAAGGTACACATTCTGCAACTAAAGTCATTCTTATTTTATTTAAATGATAATTTTTCTTTTAAATAAATTATTAATTACAAACAGTATATAACTCCCCTCTCTCGGGGTTTTGGGGTTTTGGGGAGATCGGAAGTGCGTCGTGTAGGG